TGGATATTCGCTGCTCTAAAGAATACTGCGCTCTGGAGCAATAGTTCCACTGCTATCTTTATGAAAGCCATACCCGATTGGAAGACGTTGCAGTGGTGAAAAAGTCTAAAACTGCAGTTGACGAAAATTCTACACATTGTACTCCTTCCCCAACACCGATTCTTTCGTAAAAAAGCTCACATTTCATCCCATCGCAAGCATTTAATAGAGTTTACTGCTCAAAATATTTTTATGAAAAGTGGTCAACTGTAGAATATTTCGGATATTGGATAAAATAATTTGAAATATTTTTAAGAACTGTTGTCAATACTATAATATTGTTATTATAAATATATAAATATATTTGTGGAGTACGACGAGTACGCACTACCCTGTAGCTCAATTTTACTTCCATAAAAGAATTTTTTTAGTATACAAAAACACACTGGAGAGACTTTTGCATCACTGCCAAGGCTCAATTGAAAAAATCAAAATTGATACTTTTGTTTTTAAGACAGACTGAAAGTTCCTAGCTTCTTTTTCACGAGTATTTATTCCACATATAAACATATCCAGCCTTTTTAATCAACTTCAATATCACCTCGCTCTTCTGTTAATAAACGACCTCGTATATATTGTTGGTCGATTTTATAAAAAAACACGCCAATATGTACATAGTAAGTAGGCTAAGTCACACTAGAAGGAGATCTAGTAGTGCTGCTATAAAATAAGTCGTAAGGCTGTTATACTCCATTCGATTTTGTTCTATTTTTCACTATTCTAATAAGTACCAAACATCAGACTTTTTTTTTTAATTTTATATTAAAAATCTTCAGTATATTTGCTACATTAAACTGCCAATACCTCCAGTTCGAGTACTTTTCAATTAATATATATCAAATACTATATTTTCCACAAATATTTTATGTTTTCTTATGTTTTTTTTTGTCATTTCAGCACTTCAATTCCAGTGTTCAGTGGAACAGTTTCCTAAAACTCAATGCAAATTGTTTTCTATGCAAATATATTTGTATGTAGTTAGAGACTTCACTAGAATACATGAAAATGTATTTTTCTACTATGAGAAAAATATAGTAAAACTTTGTTTACAATTTAAGAATTTTTAATTTATTCTTCAAAATCTGTATCGGCCACCTCAAAGTAATTCCCCTTGGCCTCAATACACTTATGCCAGGGTTTTTCCGAATCCTCGAAATAGATGTTAAAGTAAATTTCATGAATGGCTCAAATGCACGATTCACATTTAATGTCTTCAATTGAGACAAAACGGTTTCCCCGGAGCGCTCATTTGAGTAGTAAAGAAGCTAAATGAAGCGAATAACGTGGTTGAGGCACGTTATTGGTTGAAAATTTGGCGAAAAACTCACAAAGAATCAATGCAGAATGCGACGGTGCATTATCGTGCTGCAAAACCCAAGAGCTCTCGTCCCATAATTCCGAGTTTTCACTGATCATTTCGATAATCTAATGATGCTAGTAATATTCCTTAATGTGCTTAGGAAGAAAATTTCGTCGATTGAATTTTTGTTTGAAATTTAAATTAAAAAGTCTAACGTATGCATTTGTATATAATATTTCAAAATTGCACAGAAATAATATCGTTTCAATAAAAAATGTCTAAATGTGCGCAAATAATTTTTTACGCCACAAATATTTCACTTTTCATTTTTCTAAAATATTATATGATTTAGTGTTTAATATGGCGTTGCTAACGGAGCATAGTTGTGTCACATGCCAAAATATTTCTAATATTCTGTTACCGTTGAATGCGCACATGTATATGGGTATGTAGGTATATGTATGTGTGTGAGTGTGAGGTATGTTTTTAGTATATAGAATGTGCAGAAATCAATTATTCACAGTCAAAAAAAAAATGGATTCTAAAAAATTGGCAATTCGCGCTAAACGCCGGTGGAATGCAATTATTTATGCACTGGTGAGCATGCATGTTAGCATATCTACATATACCGTTATGCAGGTCCATAAAGCGAAAAGCTTTGAAATTTTTGCGTCGGTATGACAATGCCGAACATAATATTTAATTGAATTCTAGTATCTTTCCTTGTGAACGCTTTGCCTCTTCTCGAAGCCAAATAAATAACTGTAAAACAATTTTGGTGGAAATTAAAATGGGTACAAAATATCGGAAAATCCAATGGGTAATTTAAACTACTTTTTTTTTATTAAATGAACAAATAAAATTGTAGAAAATTTTAAATTGTTTTCAAAATTATCTATCTTTAATATTCGGAAAAAAATTCTGAATATTGCCGTTGAACGATTTGTATAACAAAGTTCGAACTTTGTTTTGTTGTTTTTGAATTAAGCCCATATTTCCTGTTTGTATATCATTACTCATTTATTGAGTATGAACATATTGTTGAAGAGAGGTTAATTTTTTTTAGAATAAACCATTTGTTGTCCGCAATGAAACAATTTATCTCTTTGATGCATTTTCTAGTTACACATTCCAGGTTTGGTATCTGATGAGTTGCAAGAGCTCATTGACTTGTTTGTAATGGAGTTGGGCACTCATAGAAGAAGTGTGAAACCGTTTTCTTCCTCTTTCCGATCTTGCATTTGCAGTTATTATAAAGAATACCCATTTCAACGCATGTTTTCCAAGTGGCCAATGCCCTGTTATAAGTGGGCTGTGAGTCTGTTTATACTTTTGCTGGACCTAAGTAATAAGTCACCAACTTTTGTCTTGCCATATTTTCGTCATAACTATTGTATGATTGTCGATTTCCCCTATTCCGAGCTAAGTGTTCAGTTTATGTATTGAATACCTTCTTTTCTCGGATTCGTTAAGAGAGTTTCCTGACTTGGACCACTCGTCTGCTTTTTGTTCTCGAAATTGTTTCTGTAACCGGGAACTCAAATTATGGACAAGTTCAGTTAACCTGCTAGTGAACTTAAAGTCTTCTCACATTTACTTACTACACTGGAATTGGAAATTGGTGACGACACAGCTTGCTATCTTTGTATCCTAACGTAGTTATTAAGTAGTATTCTCCATAGGCATTCTCTACACATAGTAAAACCGCTTGAAAAATGCTAATTGAGTTGTGTAGATGAGATATAAATATCAAGATCCTTGGTGTATACCTCATAAATCGCAGGGATTGTACTTCTTCCCCACCAAACCTCCTCCAGTGACGTTTAGGGGTTAGGTGGGTTCGAAAATTTCCAAAAATCTATTTTTTTTTTTTGCTTTATTAAATTTTACAATACCTCTAGGATATAGTCCTAAATTTTAAAGTTTCTCTGAGTAATAATTTGGGCCTTGAGAACTTGTGCACCCAAGGCTAGCTGCGCTAAGTGTCCTGTCTTCAAACGCGTTTTTCTCGAACTGTGTTTTTGAAGTCGGTGGACCGAAAAGTTATCCCGAAAAGTTATCGACCGATTTTGTTCGTATTGCGTACACGTTTTTGAAATAATATTACTAGTTATCGAACGAAGGATTTTTTCTTGTTTCATTACAACTTATTTCTCTGACCAAAAAATGCAGAAAATTTTACCAAAATGAGATTTTTTGTTCAAAGTCCGAGAAAAGAAGGACGATATTAATATTTTTTTTATTTCCTACGTTCAAAAACGAGATTTAGATATGTAGCACAACATAATATGCTTAGTTTTTTAATTTTATATGAACCAATAATAAGTTATGCTGTCCACGGCGAAAGCACTTTTTTGAGAGACACCCAGCGAAATGCGGTCTCAACGGCGGAATTTTCAACATATGTGTATCGAAATTTCAAGAGATATTGTTCGAATATATACCTTTGATATAACAAATTATATTTCCAAATATTATATATGATTGCTTGTATTAAAAAAAAAAATCAAAACAAAAAAAACTTTTTTTGTACCTCCAAAACCCACCTAACTCCTTTAGGGGGTGATCATACATGGAAGTAATTATTATATCTATATAAATTTTCCAGTTCAGTTCGGTATGTATCTAGACTCTCCGATATTTTGCTATTGGCGACAGAGAAATTGTAGTACCACGGAGTGAGGGAAACTCAAATTGAGGTATTTTCATTTTATTTGTGAATAGCATCAGTATCATCTTTTAAGTGTTAACTCTTAGTCCATTTTTCGTAAAACAGAGGTGTAACCTCTATTCCACTAATCACACTGCTTGCGGAAGGAAATAGTTCAAACACTATAACGTGTGCATCTGCGACTGCTTTCACTCCTTCCGCTTTGAGTTGAAGTAACATACCGTTCAGTGTCACCACCTTCAGAAGCGGGAAAAGAACCAATGCTTAGATAACTTGTTCGTGTCGCTGAACGGTGTGATGCTATAATAATTTTGATCATAAGCTTTGATTGTRTCCATCTGCATAGTGAAGTGGAAGTGCTTAGCCATTTTCCAACGGTGGATCCTTTCTAAGAGCTGCTACATACATAGTTTAACTCAAATCTTCTTCAAAATCTAAGTATTAAGACTAATAAGTGTGCAAATTACGTTATGTCTTTCATCTCACAATATTAGACACTTACGCTGTAGGTGTGTTACATAACTTTTTTAACTTTCCTTACTACTGCCAAAGTGATGATCCATTTCGAAGTTTACTACTAAAAACACACAAAAACAACAATTTAATGCGAAATGTTTACTATCAATACAAACAACATTCTTAGCACTTATTTTATGAAGATTATATTTTTAAAATTGGCTGACGCTACGTCGCAGATGGTCAATCCGTTGCGATAGCCAACGCATCATGTTAGGAATGAAATCAGATGGAACGGGAGGATGAAGAAAAATAAAGATGTAAAAATTACATAGCAACGCAAGCAAAAGGATATCCGTTATTTATTTACATTTCAACAACAATGTAACTATGGTCGGGAAGGTTGCTGAGCTATTTCGCTGCTTGCTGCAGCCTATCGATCAAATAGTTTTACATAACTACGGGTGAAGACTCTGTTAAAGACGCTGTTAAAAACAAATTCGCAACAGTTTACCGCAAATAAATAAATTAAATATGAAATTCTTTTTGAAAAAATGTCTGCGCAAAAAGCCAGAAGAGATGAAACCAGGCGCCATACTGGACGCTGTCATTTCACAATCTTCGCCAACGGCCAACAAATGTCTACTTTACAAGCTCGCAGATTACAAACGTGGCGGCGACCTCATTGATGCACTCAACAGTGGCGGTCTGGTCGCCGTGGAGCAACTGATACGCGAGCAATTCGGCATCTTCATGTATAATGATGGCAAAGGACAGGTGATCAATCGCGCTGAATTTCTACGCTGGAAATATCGCGATCACACTGAGGTAACCATACCGATTGAAGCATCACTATCGCGTCACGATCCACTTGGCAAGTGGGAGGACCACAAAGCCTGCTGGCAAATGCAGTTTCGTGGCGCACTTGGTGAGAGCCTCCTGCATGTGCTTATCATATGTGATTCTAAGATACACACAAAGTTGGCGCGTGTACTGATACGCGTCTTTCCGAATCTCGCACAAGATGTAATGGAGGGTGAGGAGTATTTGGGTGCTAGTGCGTTACATTTGGCCATTGCCTACAGTAATAATGAACTCGTGGCCGATCTCATCGAAGCAGGCGCCGATATAAATCAACGTGCAATCGGTAGTTTCTTCTTACCGCGTGATCAGCAGCGCCGCAATCCAGCCAAATCGACGGACTACGAGGGACTGGCTTATTTAGGTGAGTATCCACTGGCATGGGCGGCTTGCTGCGCCAACGAAAGCGTATATAATCTATTACTGGATTGCGGTGCTGATCCGGATGCGCAAGATTCCTTCGGAAATATGATACTACATATGGTGGTTGTGTGCGACAAGTTGGTGAGTTCGTTGATTGACTGGAGTGTACTTTATAAATAATTGCATACCGTCCAGGACATGTTCGGTTATGCGTTGCGTCATCCTAGAACGCCAGCCAAGAACGGCATTGCTAATCACAGTGGCCTTACACCCTTAACACTGTCGTGCAAATTGGGGCGCGCAGAGGTCTTCCGCGAGATGTTGGAGCTTTCGGCACGTGAGTTCTGGCGTTACAGCAATATCACCTGTTCGGGCTATCCGCTGAATGCTTTGGATACTTTGTTGCCAGACGGACGCACAAGTGAGTGTCTGCCACAGTAGATCTTCACAGATATTTTGAAAAATTTCGTGCTCTTCAGATTGGAACTCCGCACTTTTTATCATCTTGAACGGCACCAAAGAGGAACACTTGGATATGTTGGATGGCGGTATCATACAACGTTTGCTGGAAGAGAAATGGAAAACATTTGCTCAGAATCAATTCTTAAAACGCCTACTCATTCTGCTTGTTCACTTGCTTTGTCTCTCGATCTCGGTTTATATGCGTCCTGCGCATGTAGCCGACGACGATGAAGACGACGCAGCTATAGGTGGAACCTCTTCGAAAGATGCAAAAACGCTTGAGATCGTAGAAGAGATGGAAGACGAAGAGTATGATGTGCAAACTATAGTGCGCTATTGTGCAGAGTTTGGTACGATTGTGGGTGTCCTGAGCTACGTTATCTTCCAGCAGGGTGATGAAATAAAAAATCAAGGACTACCGGCGTTTCTTAAACAATTAGTGAGTTCGGTTGTTTGTTCAATTCAGAGATGTTGTATTTAGTCACTTCTATTACCTGCAGACCCATGCGCCGGCCAAGGCTATATTTCTTGTTTCTAACTTGATGATTCTAGCCTGCATACCTTTTCGTTTGATGGGCGATACAGACACTGAGGAGGCCATACTTATTTTTGCTGTGCCAGGTAGCTGGTTTTTATTAATGTTCTTTGCAGGGTGAGTTTTCTCTGTGTGATTTAGTAGTTTGTTAAAAAATTATGTTGTTCTTCTTATGTTTGCTCTTAGTGCTATTCGTTTGACAGGTCCCTTTGTGACCATGATTTACTCTATGATAACCGGTGACATGTTCACTTTTGGCATTATATACTGCATTGTCTTGTGTGGCTTTTCACAAGCTTTCTATTTTCTCTACAAAGGACATCCACAGATTCAGTCGACTATGTTCAATACCTTCCCGAGCACATGGATGGCATTGTTTCAAACAACTCTGGGTGATTATAATGTAAGTTGATTGGTAATTAGTGAAAATTTGGAAATATTTGGGATACATATTAGAGGTTAAGGTAGTCGCAAATACTTTCACTGACGGTTACTTCGAGGTATATGTGCTCTAAAGCTCTAAAGTTTTTTCTAATATTCTCCCAAATTCGTATAAACCTGCCACATGTTATAAAAGGGTTTTTAAAAAACTAAGTAAGTTTGTTAGAATACAGCTGTCCAATATTTATTAAACTGGAACATTGAGAACCGGGGAATACACTCTTATCCCGTCTCATCCAGCTGAGGGCTGAGCATTCGCAATATGCTTCACGTATGCTCTGCATTTCACCGAAACAACTTCTCCAATTTTTTGAAAGTGGGATCTTAAGAGTAGATAGTATTCGAAGACCGCAGGGAGTCCTCTGGGATCCACTGCTTCAAACAACCCTTTAAGAAGCTAAATAGCGTCCGAGATGCTCAACTCGTTTGGCTTTTCGTCTAATGCTATTCGTATATGATAGAGTACTCAGGTGTTAAGAATCGAGTTAACTAACGAAATGTTGGAGAATGGCGCTACAGATAGCTTTAATCGCCACTCGGCTATCTACGTAAATGTTTATAGACTTGCTGATTTCAGCTGAATCCCACTCCGCATCTTCTGTTATGCCAAGAAACTGGGAGTGAAAGAGTGATAAATCGTCATTTAGTATGAATCTGGTTTCTGAGGATAGAATAAACCTGTTCCGGTTCCCTTTTTGTACCCTTTGATCCAGAACATTTGATGCATTCTTTCCTAATGGAGATTGAAAGCATTACGTTTAATTTCTCATGGATCTGCATTTCTCGGTCACACTACCAGTTTAGCCCGAGCTCTTTAATAAAATCGAAAATAATACCGTACCCCTAGGGCCGCCGAGCCTGACTCCAATGGCCGTGTTACCCATGTTGTTTAGACAGAATCCAGTGATTTCAAAGAACTTATCTTAGTTCCTTTTTCTCGTCAAGGATCAATTTTAAAGGGAGAATGTTTCCAGGCCCTGAGGCATTTATGACTATAAAATGTTATGAAGGAACCAATAAAGTCGAACCGATTATTTGGTACATATTATCTGTGCATAAGATAATAGCCCGTAGAACAAATTTCGTAGGAGCGACCTTGGACTGGATCCGAAACCTTCAACATTTCAAGACCTTATGTCTTCTATGTTTGCGTATGGGAGAAATGTGTCTTCTCTTTCGATACGGTAATTTTTCTGCTCCTGTGTCTCTTGACATTGTATAAACTTTAGCAGTGGGAGAAAGTATTAATTAGCTTCTGAGAGAGAATACTTTGCAGTAACAGCTCTCTTTATTTTTCATATTTACACGTTTATTCTCTCAATTTACTCGCAAGTATCCCGACTTGAATAACACAACGTATCCGAACTTATCGAAGACAGTGTTTGTGATCTTTATGATCTTTGTACCCATACTTTTACTTAACATGTTAATCGCTATGATGGGCAATACATACGCACAAGTGATTGAGCGTTCCGAGAAAGAGTGGATGAAACAGGTAAAACTTTAAACTTTACCGAAGGATAATATATATTTATATACAATCCTTTTCGTCATGGCTTAGTGGGCCAAAATTGTGGTCACTTTGGAACGTGCTGTGCCGCAAGCTGATGCAAAAAATTATCTCGAAGCCTATTCCATACCACTCGGACCGATAGATGATTCCGGTTACGAGGTGCGCGGTGTAATGGTTATCAAGAGTAAAGCGAAGACCCGTGCAAAACAGCGTAAAGGCGCTGTATCAAATTGGAAAGTAAGTTGAAGACTTATTTAGATTCATCAAAATTTATATAAATCACCGTAATTTTGCAGCGTGTGGGACGCGTAACGCTGAATGCTTTGAAAAAACGCGGTATGACGGGTGAGCAAATGCGGCGCCTAATGTGGGGACGCGCATCCATTTCCAGTCCGATTAAAATTACCAAAAAGAAACTTAAGGACCCCTACAATTTACATCCACAAAGTGATCTCAACAACGCTATGGATATGCTGTCCTTCGCTAACGATCCAGCCGCGAGCTCAGGTGTGCAACTACGGACTTCACTTACAGATACTGGTGCCGATGGTAAGACTACACAACAACAACAGCAAAATCAACAGCCTGCACCCGATCCCCTACGCGATTTGATCTTCCTTGCCGATCGGCGTCCGGAAGTGCATGATCCACAGTACTTTGTCGGTCTACAACAGTTGGCTAATCAAGCTTTGGATTTGGTAGAGCAGACAATGGGCATGCATACGATACCGACCCCAGCCACGAATGCGTTGCTTTTGTCGGCAGCAGCCGCTACCACAACCGTTGGTGCTGTAGCCATACAAACAGCAAGCACTGTTGCCCCAACTGCTTTGATAGCAACAACAGCTGCTACAAATAGTGCCGCTGCAGCAGCAGTAGCTGCGCCTACCGATGATTTGGTTACACCGCTCAGTGCGAACTTGACTACACTTTTCCAGGATCCGAAGGATGTTGTTGATCCACAAAAGTTAGAGGAATTCTTGAAAATGCTTGCCGACATCGAGACGGAGGAGAGTGATGGTGGTGGTAGACCAATTTTGGGTAAGCTATCGCTTTCGCGTCGAACAAAGAGTGCCCTGTCGAAGGCCCAAATTAAAAAGGAATCGATTGGCGGCAGTCCACTCAAGCTGATTCCCTCAGTGTGGTCGCATAATTTACCACAACCGGAAGAAGAACCGGTGAGTTAGAGTGTAATATCTATATTAGAAAGGAATGGAAGGGAAAGTCCCTCAAGGCGGCTGAGGTTAAGAAATGAGTTAATTCCACTTGAATTACATAATATACCAGAATCTTCATGATAGAGTGTAAATTTTCTTAGAGAGTCACCAAAGATTTTTTCTACTACTTCTATACATATCTTAATATGATTAGGTTATATCAGGTTAGGTCGCACTGTTGATACAAAATAGTTGGATCTCACTTGTACAGATATTCGTCTTTTGTAATACCCATAAAATTCGAAAAGAGGAACACCTGGTCCTCATAGATCAACAAAGTGTTTTGAGCGCACCAAAAATTTGTTAAGACGGTTAATAGCAATCCCATACATTTCGTTAGGTTCTATCAAGATTTTTCAATCTCAGTCTGGTAAAGCTGGATAATAAAGTAACAGTAAGATTCACCTCGCCTTCATCTTTAAGGCTTGGGTAAAAACCTCCAGAAAAAATATTTAGCCACGACGTGTGTGAACCTGTTGGACAATAATTGACGGGACCAGATAAGAGCAAGTATTTCAGAGGACCTCTTAGGTTTCAGTTTGACTATATCTGATAAGTGTTAAGTTTTTCTTTAGTTTTAGTCAGAAGCCAGAAGGATCCTGCAGTCGTACAAGTTCTAGTTGGTGATCAGCGCAAGCCGGTCCCGCGCTAGAGCAGAAGAGGACATCGAGAAACCAACACACTTCCAGAAGAATGAAGTTGGCATTTCCTTTTGCTTTGCCGATAACCCAGCTATAATATTTTTGCTATTACCAAAACTCCTAACCTTTACATGAGGGCTGTTAGAAAACTAATTTAAAACTATTTAGTGTCAGAAAAATTCATGGTGTTGAAGCATTCCTGAAAATTACTCCACAAAGCGGTTGTGAATAAATACTACATTCTACTAACGTACAGTGCCCCCACCCCCCTTCCTTGGGTATTTTCGCTTATTTTCTAACATGACAATTTTTAGGAATTCAATTTCGAAGCCGCACTGGCCGAAGAGCATACACTCACCATCGAACAGGAGGGCGAGGTGGAAACGGAAACCGGCAATGAGCGTGACGACAGCGAAGACTGCCCAACCATCGAGGAGGTGCATGCGACAATGAAGCAATTTCACCTACGTAAGCGGCAATACCAGCAGGACGACGCAGCGCGACGGGCAAAAAGCGCACGCATCAAGCGCAAAAATAGGTCAGTAGCGATAATACAGCATTTCCAGTGTTTTTCTATGCGCATTTTGATTTTGCTGGCTGAGGCAACAAAATTCACTTAAATTTCCCGTCATTTATTCTATACGCACAGAATTTCGCCCGAGCAGTCCCATGACGCGGACGACGGCAAATCAACACACCCGCGAGGTGCCTCAGCGCCAGGCCGTAAGCAAACGGTGAACGAACGCTTATCACCGCCGGATCCGCTAGAGCCGTGGAGTACGCGCGAATTGCAAAATATCAACAAAATATTAGCGCGAAAGTGAAAACACATGCACACACACACAGACAAGCACACATTAATTTTGCAATATATCGTATACATATGTATGTGTATTTGTAGTTGTTGCAGAAAATACAAAATTGCTGTAAACCGTTAGCTCGTTTATTTACGGCCTTTTGCACAGCTTAATTTTTGGTTTGGAAAATTTGCCAACGCCATAGGTGTTATTATTCGTGTGTAACGGTGAAAATTGCAGTTTTAGCCAGAATGATGGCAAAAAATTGTGTATTTTTGGTAAAATAACGGCACTTGCATAAATGTATTTGTTGAAACAAAAATTGTTATTGTAAGGTGGAAAAACCATCTTCCATGTAAACGATGACGTTTATGTCACACGATTTTGTTGCTGAAAAATCAAATACATATGTACTTACATATATACACTTTCATTTAGGCATACCAACATTATATAACGGGTGCTTTTTTAGAGGTTTGCAAATTGTGCTAATTTATTAACAAAATGAAATGCTCCAGTTAGAGTGACGTAGTGCGTGCTCCATCCAAAGTTTGCTCGACGTAATCGCGAATATAGAAGCAGACCCGAATGAGTTAATCCGCTGGCATGTGCAACGTCACAAGCCTCGTTGATTCAACGATTGATTTATTCAAAAATGAAGCCCGTCGTAATAGTACACTCAATGGGAACCCTGTCACCGCCATCTTGTGGCGCTACAGCTTTGGCCTTCTACATATGTGCTCTTCAAACAACTCGGTCATATGTATCTTTTTGTTTAATTTGCCAAGCTTCTTCATGTCTACTTTGGGTTCGTCAATTCATCTCGATTGAGGTTTTTGCCTTGCTTTAGTGGTGAACCGTTACCTCTACAATCAAATCTAATCTAATCTCTTCTTCTCCATTCTCGTCAGATAGCCGAGCCATTTTAGTCACCGCGCTCTAATAAAATGTTCGATATTTTCACCTTGCATATATTGATCTAGTTCATCGTTCCACATTATATGTCTTATATGGTGAGTCGATTATCTCTTACTGCTTCAAATCTCTCTTTCTTGGGACTTGCAGTTTGGTTTTGTCCACTCGAGTAGCGTCCATGGTTTCGCTCCTTTGCACACAACTGGTTAAATTATGGTTTTGCATAAGGCCAGCTTTTTTTTAGGTAAAGTGAAGCATCAAAAAAAAAGAGTTCGGAACTTCAATCCGCTAAATCTAACCTACTACCAACTCCATACTCTCCCACGGAACCACTGATTAAGTATTTATAACTTCATGGAGGTGATAAGACACGCCTAATCGGCTCTGTATGTCTCAGTTTTGTCCTGATTGAGGCTGAGGCTTCGCTGACCGCTTTCCAGTTCTCAATGGTGTCTTCAAAGCACTCTTAACACGTCGTACAAGGGCCAGTTTACATTGCCTATTGAGTAGCCTTGGTTTGAGCAGTTTTCCTGTGGTATGGTCTTCAAGATTATTGATTTTTACACCCCTGGATACTGGTGAGGTTACGTGAAGTCGCAAATAACCCCGAAACGATTGTCGTCTTGTAAGACAATATTCGGCACATTGAGGCTGACTTATGGCCACAAATAGCTGGCAAAAGTGGTCGAAAATGGGCCTCCGGACTGAAAGCCACTCAACCCAGCCGCGGCGGTCACTTGGCCGAAATCATTTTTAAAACATAATGACCATCTTTTATCTTTATAATAAAGCTAAGTTCTGGGTCATAACATTAAATTATATACCTTTAATTTCCTCTTGAAAATCAAGTACCTAAAAGATCACCCTTTATTTGCCGCACACATGCAATATTTTTGTAGTTGTATGTATTCTCAAAATCGCGGCGCCCAAAACTTTTTAATTAAATTTCTGCACACAAACACACGCAGATACCGTTACACACGCACACAAAGAAAACAGACAAAAAAGTTATTAATTAAATTTCTTCTCTGTCTCGTCGGTGGGTGCCGTTGCCTTAGAAGTGCGTATGCAAATAGGTGTAATTGTGGAGATTCTCACAGATTTGCTGCCAGCAATTGTCGCAAGCGAGCAGAACTTGTGCGTGTAGTCGTAAGTCCTAAGCTGATTTGCGCACCGTCGAAGGTAAAGCGAAGATAATTTGCTTTCAATGCTGCAGAAATTACTAAAAATAACACACACACATATTTTGTTCATTGCTTTCTTTCGAGCATTGAAGCAAAAAAAATTGCAATCGCAGGCGACAATATTTGCGACACAAATTTATTTTGCCTTCAAAAATGTGCTCTCCAGTGGCATTAAATGGCTGTGTGAAATTTGCAATACCTAGCGGCTACTTTGTTTTATTTTTTATTTTTTTTTTGTTTTATTTTTTTCTTTTGACGTCGAATTTACATACTTTTACATAATAGACAACTAAATGAGTGTAGAAATTGCAATGGAGATGAGCAAGAAATTTAACTTAAATTTGATGCATTTTGATTCAATGGCGTTAGTTAAGAAGCGAGAGCTGCGAAAATTTTACAAAATTATTTTTATTTAAACCGAATTTTCCGAATTGTAAACCTTTTGTTCATTATTTTCATATTTTTTTTACTGTGAAATTTTTCAAAATATCTACAATTCCTTTTTTATAAACTTTTATAAAAAAATATAGTTCTAAAGAAATATTGAAATTTTATAATTATACCGTTCACTGCAGAATAGACCAACATGCAGTTGTTCGTGAGCCAAAACTGTGATCACGATATTGAAGCTTAGGTTATGTGCAATGGCTGTACAAAAGTGCACACATGTAATACTATATACAGTTCTTTGGGTTAGGTTAATCTGGTAGGCCAATGAGCCACACATAGTTCAGTTTTGGTTCTTTGCGGTACCAGATGGATTTCAGTTAATAGGTCGTTGACGAGTAGTCATTCTAAACTTTTCTTCACCCATACAACTTATGCAGCTGGCAACCGGTTGAATTCTGTACTTTACAACGTTAATGTGAATAGAACAATATTCTTTGATAACCGCCACAACTAGAGAGAGCTTAGGCTAACGGAGGGCAAAGAGCTTACTGGATATTTTACAAGCGATCTTTGATCAAAAGCATCCGTTTGCAGCCCAGCGCTAGCTAAGCACTCGCGAAGCCCAGTTATCGAATAGTCTATCCCTTCTACTGATAGCGGAGCTAGGGTGCCTTTCCTTGCAAGTTCATCTTCTTTATAGTTACCTACGATTCCGCAGTGGCCCGCTCCATTAATAGTCTCGACACAAAGATGCAAACTCGATATTATAAATAAAACCAAAAAATATCAAAAGAACCCGAAAGATTTATGCAAAATGCATGCAGAGCGAGCTCATAACTATATCACGTGATATAAATCCCACCAACCTTTTCTAATATCAGTCCTAAAGGTATTAAGGTTTGGTAAGCATAATATCGTTCATAAAGAAACAAAGGTCAGAGACTTTTTGCTAAATACGAGACAAATCCACACAAAATCACTTTAATCGGGACGTTAATTTCGAAAGAAGCTTGTACGTGGGTTGCAATTTATATTGCGGGATTTCGCTACCCTAGTGTTAGAATCTAGCAACCCCAATTTTATCGTAACATCATACAGTAACTTAAAATATTCCAAGCGAAGCCAGATCCTTCTGCTCGAGGTATTTCCAACAGAGTGGAGATCTTCCTCTTCCTCTGCTTCCCCTGCAGTCGAATAGTTTCAAACTCATGCATTTTCGTCCATTCTTACAACATGACTTAGTGATAGACGGGACAAGAGTCTATCACATTTCTTATAACTTTACTTTTACGAGGAAATCAATCAGCTGGGCAACGGCACCTTTCCAATTAAGGGACCGGGAATTCCAGGCGCATGCCCTTAATACGTAATCCTTAATAAATCTGCAGTGATTGGCATCAAAAGGGGGGATTTCTCTTCCTAGGCTACTGTTTCATTTTCACTTCTTTATCAGTAACCTTAGTGCTGGTACTAAAGTGTAGTCATTATTCAGATCATATCGAAGCATAAATAGGCAAGATAATAATTTTGAAACAGCTCCGGCCTTCCCTTAAACTTCTGACGTAATTTCATTTTGTTTAACCAGAATTCAAGAGGAAGTCTAACTTCGTAGAGGGCAGCACTACCAGTTTTGCTTGTAGACTACGCTGAAGTAGTAGATAAGGGTTCGGTCACTTATTAAGCCCAGTCCAACAAATATAATAAATCTTAACTGTACTATCAAACACTTATGTCAAAAGTCTCCACAGGCAAATGGAAATGAAAAAAAAAAAACATTGTGGCTCTATCGATTTGAGCTAATCTCACAACTGAATAATACAAAACACGTGAAAATTGTCCGCCACATGCGTGGGTTTGTGTGTGAGTGTCAGTGTGCCACACTGACCTTGTCACAGAGCGAACGGACAGTAATCCGTAAGCGCCACTATGGTGGCCAAGTCAACTGGGTCACAACAGAACGTGACTCGTGAATAGTTGCCAACACACAAAAAAACAAAAAAAAAAAGAGAAACCAAAAGCCAGTAAAACTTTTGATGTGATTTAATGCAACAAAAGGGAGATACAAAAGCGAAAGTGGCGGAAGAAGAGAAACAGCAAACTAAATTACATAATGACAAATGAAGAACAACCAATCGATGTGTATGCACAAGTGTCTGTATGTCTGTCCGCATGTCGTAAGCGTCGATAAATTGCATTTGCGATGATTTGTACCACTTTTTGCTGGGCGCCAACGAGGGCAAAACAACGCCAAAAACAATAAAAAGTGACACAAAACTTCTGTACAACATTGCAGCACTTTCGATTGCATGATGCATGTTGCATGTTGCATGTCGAAATGGCAACAACAGCAAAAACAGCAACAGCAGCATTAATATGATAAGCGGAGCATGAGGGTGCAGGGCTGCGCTTTAAGTGGCAAGCGAGGGAGAGTATTAAACACGCGTACAATAACAACACCGACAGCATTGGTATTTTGTTTAAATGACAGCAAGAAGCTGTTGCGACACTCATAACTGTGCATGGATAGAACCACAAATG